TTGCTGATACTCTGTACCGCGAGATATAAATCAGTATCGAACGATTCAAAAGTCTTTGCGTTTTCTTAAAAATTAATTTTTTTTTCGAAAAAGTGAAGATAATTGAATAAGTTGGATACTTAATTAATATTAAGTATATTAACGCTTTGCTCTTTAGTAATTCTTACTGAATACTTCATTTGTTATATATGTATAGTAAATACAAAGTAGAGTAAAGATAAAAGATAAAAGTGGTCGAGTAAAAAAGTAAGACCATAAGATGTATGAAAAAGTTTCCACTTTTGTTTGATATTATTTAATTTTTTAAATGCAAAGTGTTAATAATAGGTTCATCGATTAGATCAAATATCTGTTGAGGCATTCGAGTAAATGTAATTGTACGATTTGTGGATTTCTTTGGGCTGCGATTGTTCAGCAAATGTATTATAAAATGCGCTTAGAGAAAGCCTCACAGCAGCGTTTAGGGCATGAAGAAAGAAGAGGCATTATGCCGAAGAGGCCCCCACAAATTTGTGGTATCAAGTGGGCAACTACATGGACTATTAAGTTATTTTCAAAAGTTCAACAGCAAGTTCGAACTTTTCGAGAATAGCTTTTTAGTCATATTTTATATTTTATTATATTACATTCCTGCTCGTCATTAATTTGTAGTTGTAATTGGAGATGATGGACCATTCCATCTCCTTGGGACACAAAATTTGTGTTCCTGAAAATCGTCAAAAAGATGCATATGTGTTTAGTTAGAGTCAAAAATATTTAAATTTTCGTATTATTAATTTTTCAAACTTAAATAACATTCGGTAAATATTACAGTAATTTCTCTTTTCTTGTTTTGTCTTTAAAATTGTTCACTGCAATCGTATTTTAATAAATTTGCAATTTTTCTTTTTTATAAAATGCAATTTAAAAATATTTCATATAATAATTATTAGATATTATTTTTTTTAGTAATTTAATATTTTTACTTTTCCTTTTTTTTATATATATTTTATGTAAATGTAAAATCGCGCGTCTAATTTAATTTCATTGCAACGATTATTAGAGATTTGATCAAAATAAATATAGAATTCAATTGAAAAGTGCATCTGCGAATTGGACGATTTATATGTCAGGCTATTGTATCACTTGCCTGTATGACTAATATAGTTTTCTTCTTGTTACAGGTGATTATCGTTTGATTTATCATCAAACCTTCTGGATTATTTTTTATTTGAGTGTCTTAAATTGCTTCATTTTAAAATATAGTTATAAATGCATTTCTGAAGGCACACACACACATGTTTATACATTAAAAATTAAATATATTTATTTAAAATTTTATTACAATAGAACTATATTATTTATACTATCAAAAAGAGAGAATATATCATATACTATCAAAGAATATGAATATAAWTACACTATTCTTTGATAGTATATCGTCCAATGGTGGTCCCAGTGGTAACAAAAATGATGCTGGGTAAATAAAAATGGGGACTTGTGAGTTTCTATATACTTCACCACAAAAGAGTTGGCATAGAATCGCAACAGCAGAAAAAAATGTAAAAATGAAAATATTTATAGCTCCGTTGTTGTTACTTTGGAAATCACTTTTAAATATATACCCTGCATGTATACCAACTTTACTTTAATTTTTTTTCAAAGTGCGCTTGCACCTTGAATTTGTTGATGTGCATGCGTATAAATATCTCCCGCTCTTGACGTCACCATTTCATAATTATTCAAAGTGTAATAATTATTTTCATCTAATTAACGATAAATAAAAAATATTTAATGAAATAAAGTTGAGGAGCGGGACAAACAAAAAGTGAGCAATTGATTGAAAACAAAAAACAATAGAAAACTTCATTKCTTTGCTTAGAAATGAGATAAAACGTTTTCGATTTTTCAATTATTAATAACTAATTAAATAATTAATTAATAAAGTAATCAATCATATATGAATTTTGGTTGAGCAATTAGTGAAGAATTAAGAGCACTTATTCATTTTTTTCTGCTGTTGCAGTTCTATGCCAACTTTTTTGTGCTCATATATATGTATGTCACTTCAATAGCAGACGACAATCGATTGATGTTAGTAGCTGCAATAGAGTAGTAGTGGCACACGTGACTTCATTGTTTATACTTTTTTCATTTTTATTATAACAGAAAATATATATAATTATAATATCGGTGAGTTTAATATTAAACAAGAATCATTTATAAATTTAGTTCAAGTATTCATTTTTACGCTTAAATAGAAATATCTCATTATGAAATATTGCATTCAAGAAGAATTTTAACAGAAAGAAAATAAATTCTATTCTTTTATTTCTTATTGTAATGCAATCATGTTAATGCATTTAAAATTTATCATTTTAATCCTGTCTATTTCTTTAAAACTTCGATACAGTAACTCTTTAAAATAGTCTAATAGAATCTGAATTTGGATATATTTATTAATAATACACCGATAATTAAGTATTTTATTTAGTGGAATGTTTACTGGAGAAGTTACATCGAACGATATTACAAATGCTAAACATTTGTTTTCCACGTCTATCATCGTAAGTATTACACAAATTTTCAATTTAATTTTTAATCTTATCGTTATAAATTAATAGATATAACACACAAGATAATCGATCAGATATTTTTCTTTTATTATTATTATTATTATTATTATTATTATATTACTTTACATTGCATAAAAATAATTAACAAAATTTCTTATGGGAAATATACATAAATAGAAAGAATTATAAGTTATCTGCTATAATTATCAGCTTTTAATAATATCTTATTATTATTAGTCAGGTGCTGCTGCAGGAATTATTTGTGACATAATATTTTTCCCATTGGATACTCTCAAAACACGTTTGCAAAGTCAACATGGATTCTTAAAGTCAGGTGGTTATAAACAATTGTATCATGGTATAGGACCTGTAATGATGGGCTCTGCGCCAGCAGGTAAATCTTCTATACGAAAACAAATAGCAAAAAAAGAAATACAAATGCAATAAGCCTTATACAATAATTTGTTTTAACCAGCTGCTTTATTTTTCATCACTTATGAGGGATTAAAAGAATTCTTACAACCACAAGTATTACCTCAATATCATGCGTTTATACATATGGGTGCTGCATCATTGGGTGAAATGGTAACAAAATTATTTTAACTCTTTTTATATGAATATAGCACAATTGTAGAAAAAAAGTCTATTTAAAAAAGTATTCGTATAATTAAATTAAGTATAAAGGTACAAATATCATGATACAATTATAACCAAGCATTTACTTATAACATAGTTCTTAATTATATTACACAAAGAAGAAATTATATTAATGTATCATTATATTGTAGGTCGCTTGTTTAATACGAGTTCCAGTGGAAGTACTTAAACAAAGAAGACAAGCACTTTTATCCGACGTGACTCGTTTAAAATTGCGAACATTATTTCGTGGATATGGGAGTACTGTTCTTCGAGACATGCCATTTGGATGCATTCAAATGCCATTATGGGAATATTTTAAAGTTTGTTGGAAACAGCACGTACACCGTGAATGTACACCATTAGAAGGAGCTTATTGCGGTGCAGCATCTGGTAAGATTCATTTTGACAATACTTAATAATGCTATTACATCAGCAAAATATAATATTAAAAATGTATAACGCTAAGAATTATTTCTTAGTGGCAGTCTCTGCAATCATTACAACTCCATTGGATGTTGCAAAAACTAGAATAATGTTGTCTTCTACTACGGCAGATAAAAAAGAAGTTAAAATATCAAAGATGTTGAAGGAAGTTTATCGAATTAATGGACCTAAAGGGTATGAACAAATTGCATCTTTCTATTTTGTGAAGTCTTAGGTATCATCATACATCTTTTCATAACTTCAATGCTTTGTTATAGTTTAAATTATTAATAAATATCTTTTAGATTATTCGCAGGCTTTCTTCCAAGGGTGGGTGGCTTTACTATTAGTGGTTTTGTATTTTTTGGTATTTATGAACAATCTAGAGAGATTTGTGCTTCAATTTTCCCATATACGTCAGATCAAAAAAATAAAACATAGTAAAAATATTAATAAGAAGCAGAAATATCTTTGCTCGTTATTAAAAATTTCTAATTCATATTTTATCAAATATTTTCTCATATCTATTTGGTACTAAATAAACTTTGCACTTTATATAACAATACTTTTGTTTATAATAAACAACAGCATTAATTTTTGGTACTGTTAGTAAATCGTTGTTAAATTATCTAAAAGTTTTTCACAGTTTTCGCTTAAATATGGCACGATTATAATATTAAATCAATTAACTTATAAAAGACTTAAAAACATTCCAAATACAATTTCAAAAAGAAATTTTTAACAAAAATATTTAAAATATAATTAATGCTTATACTAACAAAATGTACATTACTTTGTAATATATAAATGCAAATAATTGTATTCACAATTACTGTAAAGATGCATACGAAATGCATCTTGTCAGAGAAAATATTAGCAGTAATTAATTTAATCTTTCTAATTAAAATAATAATTAAGAAAGCACAACATATGTTCTAATACCAATTATTTGTTTACTAAAAAAATGTGTTGTATAAGAATAATTTATTGTACGTTAAAGTTTTGCTTCTAAACATTAATATGTAGCATTAATGATTTACATGATCTCTTTTATCTGAATATTGTACGAAGAACAAAAGTATTAAACATTTTAATACTGTACTTGTTTTTATGGTCTAACAACAATGCGATGTTTTGGGCGTAATTGTTAGGCTAATCGTTTCCTCCAATTTTTGTAAGTTCTCTGGTACAGATAAGAAATCACTAGCAATTTCTGTAAATAATTCCGCTGCAAGAAACAAATCATTAAATTATTCTTTAATCAAAGGCAATACAATTAAATATATGATCTTACCAACGTTTTCTCCGGTTTTACTTGATGTTAAAAAAAATTTTGCTTGAATACCATTTGCATAATTTGTTACAATATCTATACCTGGATCTGCTATTATAACAGAATTTGATAAAATATCGGTTTTTGTACCAACGAGATATATTTTACACTCTTCTTCTATAGCTCTTAATTCTCTTACCCAAAACTTAGCTTTTTGAAATGTACTAGACATTGTAACGTCGTAACATACTACTGCAGCTTTAGCACCACGATAATATATTCTTGTCATCGCATCATATCTGAAATATAAGAGGAAAAAGATTTAAATGTAATATTATTCGAAATGTAAATAGCCTTAATTCGTTAGTAAAATGCATTATATCTAAATTAACATTTAATGCAATCTTGGATGCAATTAAAATGTAACATACCTTTCGTTACCTGCGGTATCCCATATTCCCATAACAATGTTATGTCCATTAATTTCCATTTGTTTAGCAGCAAATGCAGCTCCTATTGTCTATAAACAATAGTTGATTCAGTGTCTCATTTAATGAACAAAAATATCAAAAATATTCCTGTAAACTTTAGCTTTTGCTATCGTACAGATTTATTTTTATAAATTATTTAATTACGTTTTGATAGGATAAATTCTCATTGAATCTTTCATTTATAAAACGTTCTAAAAGACTTGTTTTCCCAACTGCTGCATTTCCTAGTAAGACAACTTTTAAATCTACACGACTCATATTCGATTATACTTCTCACGAATGATTATGGAAATCTTTGAAATTTACGAAAACCTTCATCTATGCAGTGATAGTGTCTGTTAATATTTTTATATCAAAATAGTAAATTAAAGATGATCTGAAAACATGAAATATCATTCCAATGTTCTTAAAAACTTTCATATGAGAGATGACTTTAAAAATTCAAAACATACCTACTATAGATAAGAAATTACAGACATCAATCAGATAATATAGATAACTAACACTTATTTAAAAATAAAAATTCTTAACAGATAATTTCTAAAATACAGGAAATAATTATAATAGAACAAGCTTTTTTATATTATCTTTTTCACGTCATGTGCATTCAACTTTAAATTGTGGCTTATTTGTTTTTTATATGAATTATTCATTAATTATCATTCATTTATCGTTTATATATTTATCCACCTCGAATAGAATTTTTTTTTTTTTAAATGTTCGAATTACACTAATATTCTAATTAAACTATAAACTATATAAATTATGTTTGCTGGTTAGGTATGATTAAGTAAAAATAGAACAACAAAAAACGTATAATTTGTTTCGATAAGATGATGGCGCTATTAAGCTATATAACAGTCATAGACTAAATATAATATAGATTTGACAAGGAAGAATAAATTTTATATTTGTTCATTGAAAAACATAGAAATCTGTTGAAACAAAACGTAGGGGGTAAATTTGGATAAGCCTTGATAAAATCTAGAATAAAGAGAATTAGCTCTTCTAAAGATTGTGTATTATCTAGATATTAAGATGAAAATACAATATTTTGGTTATATGCGTAATGCGCACATCCGACGGCGACATGTAATTGCTTAGTTTGTATATTTAATTCCTTTTTTATGTATACGTAAAAATACTTAATTATATTAATATATATATATATATGCATATATATATAAAAATTAAACGTCAGTTTAAGTCAAAATGACATGGAAGCGTATAAAGAAACATCTAGGAGTTGGTAAGTAGATATTTGACTAAGAAATTTGTTACTGTTTTCATTACGACATATTACATCCTGGGAGGTGCCCCAAATTAAGATGAAATTAAATGCTAATTATTATAACTTTTTTAATTTGATGAAAATATTAATATAATTACCCTTACAATTTTTCTTTCCTGTATCCAACGACGTTAGTTAACATCAATTTATTATTTCTTTGTATAAGAGATTAATTAAAATTTATAACCTTAAAAAATGCATTGATTACAATTAAAAAAGAAATTTGCTAAAAATTATATCGCATAAGAATTTCAATGATTTAGCCTTGATCAGCCTCATCATAAAAATATTAATTTCTCTAATGTTTGTCTATACCTTATTTCAGCTATTTACAATTTTGGCAAGGAAGGATTTTGTGCCTTACCCTTAACAGTTGGAGATGTTGTACAAATTTATGAAGAGTACGGAGAGTGGTATTATGGCCGTAAAAAGATTAAGGGTACAATTGGAATTTTTCCCAAATCATACATACATATCTTACACCATCAAAATAATGTAGATACATTAATACACGAGATAACTAGTGTTTTAAGAGAATGGGGTCATCATTGGAAACATTTGTATGTGGTATGTATTAAATATGTTAAATTAATACATACAAAGTTAAGCAGTGTAAAGTATATTAGCTTACTGTAATGTTTTATGTGTAACAGATACATTCGGAGCATTTTATACCAATGCAACAACAAATTTTGGAATTAATAGGATACCGAAGCAAAATTTTACAAGGCACACTAACAATAGATGAATTGAAGGATCTTAAGAGATTAGCAACTGCTAGAATAGACACCGGTAATCAACTTTTGGGCTTGGATATGGTTGTGCGAGATGATCAAGGGAACGTTATGAATCCAGAAAATACAAGTACCATCCAATTGTATTATCATCACGAAACAGCTGCCGAAAGAATTAGAAAAGCTACCAATGAAACGAAGAAAAAAACTTTGAAAACCCAAACACCTGTATATTCTCATATTTTCTTCGTTAGTGTTAAAAACTTTGTTTGTAAAATGGTAGAAGATGTAGAATTACTTTTAACTTTATACGATGGCAGAGAAATGAAAGCTATCACTGAGAATTATGTTGTTTCTTGGAGTAAAGAAGGACTTGCTAGAGACATCGATCAGTTGCATAATCTTCGAGTATTATTTACTGATCTAGGCTCCAGAGATTTAGCTAGAGATAAGGTTTATTTAGCTTGTTACGTTATTAGAGTTGGAGGTATGGAAGCCAAAGAAATAGATCATCGTCGTTCGAGTATTGCACAAACTTATCAGAAAGTTAAAAGTAATGAAAGTATGCGAAGGCCATTTGGCGTGGCTGCTATGGATATTACACCGTACATCACAGGTAAATCAGAAGGAGACGTAGAATACCATCATTTTATTCAATTTGTACAGTAAGCATCTTTTTTCTTATTATATTTTCTTGGGTGTAATATTAGGTTGGCTAGTTAGTAATGTCGTAATTTTCAATAAAACAATCCTATCATTTATTTAGATAATAAATGTTGACATTACTTATTGGCTAACGCAATATTATAACACGCATGTATATGTATATTTTTAAAAATTGAAAAAGGATGTTTTTGTTGGTTTTATTTTGTTTATTTTCAGATGTTGCGAGAAGGAAAGTTTAGATGGTACATTACGTAGAATCATTGCACAAAAAGATACTAATATCCAAAAAAGTGGAGGAAATAGCAATAACAACTTTGGTGGTGGGCAAGGATTGTGGGCAAGTTTGAAATTACTTAGAGGAGATGTCAAGCAAGTACGTATATATGTATATATAATTGTAATTGTTATTTTAATAGTTAAATATTGTATTATTTATTCTGAAAATCATTTTCATTTTCATTGTGTAATTGAAATATAGGTAAGAGATGAAAATCCTCACTTGGTACTCGGAAATGTTGCCATTGCTAGAAAAATGGGATTTCCAGAAGTAATTTTGCCAGGTGATGTAAGGAACGATCTTTATTTAACTTTAATTAGCGGTGAATTTAGTAGAGGAACTAAATCTACCGATAAAAATGTAGAAGTTACGGTATGTATACAAAATTTATTTCTTCAATATTTAAAATATGATATTTTTTCATTCATTATATATGTATTTCCCATTAGGTTAAAGTCTGCAATGAGTGTGGCACTCCTATCCCAGGTGTCATGACTTTAGGGGGTGGAACTTCGCCAATTGATGAATATCGTAGTGTTATATACTACCATGAAGATAAACCTCGATGGTGTGAAACGTTTAAAATTGCTGTACCGATAGACGAGTTTAAACAAGCACACTTGAAATTTACATTTAAACATCGAAGTTCAAATGAAGCCAAAGATAAATCAGAAAAACCATTTGCATTGAGTTATGTCAGATTAATGCAACGGAATGGTACAACACTTCAAGATATTCAACACGAATTATTAGTCTATAAATTAGATCAAAAAAAATACGAGGAAAAAGATATATCGTATTTAAAATTACCTTCAACAAGGATAGAATTAGTAAGACATTATAATTATTAATGTATAATAATATATTTTAAGTATACATTTTTTAATAATAGTCAGTTTTTCCTGTGTCTTTAGTTTGAATTACATACAGAGAAGAAACCAACTTTGGGTTCATTGACGTTAAGCAACAAAGATAATTTTCTAATAGCAACAAATGTCTGCTCCACTAAATTAACACAAAATGTTGATTTATTAGGCTTACTTAATTGGGCATCACATAATACTGATTTAAAAGAATCTTTAACTGCTTTGATGAAAGTAGATGGCGAAGAAATAGTAAAATTTTTACAAGTAAGATTTTATTTATAAAAGATATTGATCCTTAATATATAATGATATTGAAAATGATGTGACAATATAAATATATACACACATATGCATGTAATAGTAATAAAATAGACATTATAGTAATAGTAATAGACCATTATATTATACAGAATTCCTTTTAGGACGTTTTGGATGCCTTATTTAATATCCTGATGAGTAACTCGGACAGTGATGTTTATGATGACATGGTCTTTGAATGTCTTCTATACATTATTGGACTTGTATCGGATAGAAAATATCAACATTTTCAACCAATATTAGATTTATATATTTCTGAGAGCTTTTCCGCAACTCTTGCCTATAAAAAATTAATTGCAGTTTTAAGAAAGCGAATAGATAGTGCGAGTACGTGTGATGGACAAGAGCGTGATTTGTTACTAAAAACAATGAAAAGTTTACAATATTGCATGAGATTTATTGTAGAATCTCGTCTATTGTTTACTGAGTATGCTATTTCTTTAGATTTTTTGTTATAATCAATTTTTCGTAATAATTTTTAAACAAAACTATCAATTATATGTATCTTATTTTAACAGGCTTAATCAAGATGAAGAAGAGTTTTCATTAACTTTAACAGAATTATTACATTCTATTGTTGAGCTTATGAGACACGAGACAGATGCAACTTTATTAGTTCAAGGGGCATGCCTAAAATATTTACCAACGACAATACCTCATTTGTTACGAGTTTATAGTGGCACACAATTAAGTAAAATATTAACGGAATTATTGACGACTTTACCAGCTGGAAGATTAACAAAACAAAAAATGATGACAGTAAATGATATTGTACATAGTCCACTTTTTTTGGATGTAGATTGTAGAGGTATTTTGCTGTCAAAAATCATTGTTCTGGTTCGTGATCTATTAGAAGCAAAAGAAGAGGTAAGATATAATCATGTTTGATATCTTAAAGATTAATTATTATCATAATTTATCTATTAATTAAAAAAAATATATGTATATAGGTATATCAGAATATACATATTAATACATACGTTTATATAAAAAACCTAAATTATTATTTTTTATTATTATTAATAGAAAAATTTGTATCCGTTTAGATATTATTACATTAATTGAATATAAAGTAGTAGAATAACTATAGAATGTAGTTTCTTTTAAAATTTTTAGTTATTTGTAAACATAAAATAATAATTTTCTATAGTATTTTTCGATTAGTGATTCTAGTCTGTATTTTGATCATACTTGGTGATAAAATACTAATATTCATATATAACATCGTGCATTAATTATCGTTCTTAAATTCATATTTACTGAGGTTGGTATAATCAGAATTAAATATATTATTTCCATTTATACTGCAATTTGTTCTGTACTATTTGTATATGGTATCATTACATGTGCTTTCCGTGCAGCCTGACGTCCTTCTGCCACGCATCTTTTCATCGCCATTTCCATTAAATCACACACATGAGATTAGTCTTTGTCTTCTTACTTGCATCGTGAAAAATACTCTGCTATTCTAAAAATTCAATGATTAATATTATAATTATCTTTTCTTATTAAATTATACTCTTCGAATTTATTGCTTGAAATATTATAAAAAGAGATATTATCTTCTGCATGGGACTTTTGGTTTAATATGTCATGAGATAAAACTATAATAAATAATAATTATTACAAATATAACATAGTAGAGAGGATTAAAATAACTTTTAAAAACATGAAT